TTTGCTGAACCTTGCTCTTGATGCTTGCTCTCCAAGTTCTGCCTCAGCTGGTCTTACTGCTCCCCGGGGTTCTCACCGCTGGGACCTAGTGGCTGACCAGAGAAAAGAACCTACAAAGAACAATTTCATTTTTTTCTGTATCTTCCTCTTTGATATTAGGGCTATAATAAGTTGGGGTCATATGTGAAGTGAATGCAGTACTGTACTAAGAAAAAAGGAAAGGGAGGAAAGAGAGAGAGAGAGAGAGGAAAGGGAAGGGAACAGGAAGGAAGGAGGGAGGTTCAGTCAGTCCAGAGTAGAAAGGAAGAAATAGGGATTTTTTAAGTGTAACTCCTAAGAAAGAGAGTAATAGAATATTCTAAATTTAGATATTCTTAGAATGCATGCTTCAATTTTGGTAATGTTTTTAAAGACAGCACAGTTAGCTTTACTATTTATGAAGGAGACATAAGGATGTGAATTCATAAATAGATAAAATTAACTAGTGCTTTTCTAAAGTGAGGTCAAATACTTATCTAAATTTAACATCTTTTTCCCAGGAAGATTTATACAGTTCTTGTGGAATAAAAGGATCAAACTTAAGTCTAAACTTTGATTTGATTTGATTTTCATGTTTTTGCAGTACTAGAGATCAAACCCAGGGCTTGTGCTTGCCAAGCAAGCACCCTACCCCTGAGCTATAGCCCTAGCCCTAAGTGATTCTTACACACATTGGTATCTCAGAAAAATGCATACATGGCCAATGACATCATCTTTTGATTCTACCAATAACCTACAATGTGTGTTATAACAAAATCTGCCTTACAGCTGCACACCTCAGCAGCACCCCCTCACTTCCTGCAGGTCAATGCTAGAGATTTCTCCAGTGCAAAGGGTGACAGTTGATTCAGTCAATGCAGAACAGTCCTGCCTTTGATGAAGTTCGATTTTCAGTAGGCTATTTGATGTCCTGTCTATCTATTGGCAAAGCAAACTTTCTTGTGCTTTATACCTTTTAAAGTAAGATCTACTGGAAAAAATATTAATTTACAAAGCACTTTCACTTTCATTCTAACATATCACCTTCAGAGCAAACCACAGGAAAAAAGCAAAGCTCAGCGAATTGCCCAAAATTGCACACCTAATAAGTAATGAAGCCAAGACTTACATCCACATCTGGCCTTAAGTTCAGAGCACCTTCCTGAATAATTGTAGTGTTTAAAACCACAGTCTGGAGGCATAGAGAGGGCTTTGAACCTGCCAGAGTGAACTTGGGTAAATTACTTACTCTCCAATCCCATGTGCAGACAAGAGAATATAATGAAAACTAACATACTGGTTTTAGTCAAGTGACAAGACCAGAACACGTGCAAAGTGCTCAGCAAGCTGCCTGGCATCAGGCTCCCTTCATGTTCACTATCATTTGCAGTGCCGAAAGGATGAACATCTGGTCCGACATGAGGAGGATGCCAAGGGAAAGGCTGATATAAGAGAATTTCCAAAGGTCACCCAGGCCTGGGTGATGCACTCACCATCTGAGATGGATGGAAATAAGTCAGAGAAGATGAGGAGCATGAGACTCGGAGGGTAGTGCTACCATTGATGGTGGAGACTTGGAGGTGAGCAAGTGGAATGAGTGGGAGGTGTCCTAAGCATAGGGAATAATGGGAGCTGAGAACCAAACTCAAAAGGAGGCAATTATTCACCATAGAGATTGTCATTCCCAGAGAGATAGTCATTGATGTTTCTACCTCTCATTTTAGGGTTACTGGGGGAAAAGGACACGAGGCTGAAGGACTGGACTTTGGTATTAGTTCCCACTTAGAGTGCAACAGGAAGCAGATAGGTATGTGATGACCAAGTAAGTTCTGTTGAGCCGGGAACAAAATGCATATCCCAGAAACAAGTGGGGAGACTTGAAGAAGACTATGATTGGGAATGGTCTGAGTGTGTCCCCCAAGAATTCATGTGTGGGAAGCTTGGTGCCCAGTGTGGCCATACTAAGAGGTCGTTGGACCTTTAAGAGGTGGGACTTAGTGGAAGTTGGATAGGTCACTGGGGGGCATTGCCCTTAGAAGGGATTAGGTCAATTAACTCATGAGATCCTGAGTTAGTTCTCACAACAGTGGGTTGGTTATTACAGAAGAGCAGGCCTTGAATCCTTCTCTGGCTTCCTGACTTACCATGTGATCTCTCCCTCTTGCATATGCTCCCACCATGATTCCATCTGCCATTAGGCCCTCACCAGAGGTCAAATTAATGGGATACCTGATCTTTCAGCCTCCAAAATGCTGAGCTAAATAAATCTTTTTAAAATTTCTTCTATCGATATGTAAATATAAGGGGTAAACCTTTCTTTAAATAAACTATCCAGCTTCAGGTATCTCATTATGGCAATGGAAACAGATTATAATACAAGGGAACCCCATTAACTCAGACTCACTGGTCAATGAGAATGAAGTAGTCATGGGTTTCACAGAATGAAGGTTGTATCATGGAAGTTCTTCCATTTCTATCATTACTACAGTTGCATACAATAAGAAGCCTAAAGAGGTTGTCATTGTGAAGGAGACCATATCATACTAACTATGGATAGATAATGCATTGCCAGAGGTCTAGGCCAAGTTTAATTGGCAAAATGTGTTGCTAGTTATTAAAAGTTCCCAGAGATGTTGAAGACTGAATAGGCTTCCAATGGGTAGAGAGGAGAGGGCATTCCAGGTAAAGGGGACCATATATGCAGAGGCTGGGGAACGTGACAGCACAACAAATTCCGAGACAGAGGAGTGCCACAAAATACAAAACGTGGCGGCTGGGGCTGTAGCTTAGTGGCAGAGCACTGGCCTAGCATAAAAATAAACAAATAAAAATAAACACCACATAAAAATAAACAAATAAAATAAAGTCATTCTGTCCACCTACAACTACAAAAAAAATTTTAAATAAAAATATATACATTTGTGGGGCCAGTGAGAATAAAGTAGAAAAGCCGGTTGAAGCAAGATTAAGAAAGGTCATAGATACCATGCTGAAGAGTTCTTAACTAATTTTTCTTTATAAACTATCCAGCCTCAGGTATCAGGAAACAGTTATCGAAAACTTTTGAAAATGGATGAGACATGGTGAAATCTATGCTTTAGAATATCAGGATGGGGGCTGCAGTTGTGGCTCAGCAGTAGAATGCTCGCCTAGCCTATGCAGGGCTCTGAGTTCGATCCTCAACACCACATAAAAAATAAAGGTATTGTGTCCAACTACAACTAAAAAATAAACATTAAAAAAATAAAAGAATATCAGGATGTAGTGCTGGGGCATCAGGATAGGTCAGGAGACCTCTGTAGCAGCCCAGAAAAATGACTGTACAGGTCTGAACAGGGTGGTGATCTGAGTGAGAGGGAGAGAGAATAGGGAAAAGGAAATTCCCCTGAGTCAAGGCCTAACAAGGAGTGGTGAAGGGTACACTGAGGGATTTGAGACTGGGCATTGGGATCAGGTAGCACCATCCAGAGACCTAAGAAAGACTGAAGGTGTCTCAGGTGCCAGTGAGAGAGAGAGAGCTCTAGGGAAGGATCAAAGAAGAAAGGGAGGGATCAAAGATGACTAATTCATAGCCTGGGTACCTACATGGCTATTGATGTCATCATCCAAAATAGAGGGATGCACATTTGCTATGAGAAGTGTTTTAGATATGGTAGGATGAAGCTTCTAAAAGCCAAAGTTTTAAAATCAAATTTATCAAGGTGCAATTTACATAAAATAAAATGCACCTATTTGATGTGTATAGTTCAATGAATCTGACAAATGTAAATACCTGTGCAAGCAGCTTCATGGGTATATGAAACCTAAGTATTCACACTAGGTCCTATTTTCAGAAGGGCCTTTTGCTTTGGGTTTAAAACTGAATTCATGGTGCCAAAGCTTTCTTTGAACTTGGGTTTTATAAATGCAATCTGATGGGACAATGAAGCATTTCAGGGGAGGGGTTTAGAGCCTTAGCTTTTGCTGAGTCTCTTTCTTATCACCCTCCCCATGACCCCCAATCTTTACCCTATCCCACCCCTACTTCAGGGCAGGGCAGGGCTGCACCCCAGCACATTCAGAGACTGATGAACATCTTCCCTAACATGATCCTGGTACCAAACACATCCTGACACACACACTTCAATCCCTTAGGGCTCATCCATCCGTCATGCCCTAGGAAGGGGAGTGTTCCAGTACATAAGGAAACGTAACATTAAAGAGCAAATTAAACCAGCGTGATAAGTTGATAGAGAACACAGAAAAAAAAAAAAGAGTTTTATAATTAAGTACCTTTAGTAGTGTCCTTTCCTGCTTCCCTCCATTTTTATTTTGCACTGAACCTTGCAAGAAGAATATTTTCGTCTCGCTCCTTTACGGAGTCAACACACCATAGGTCCCAACCACAGGTCTCCTTTCAAGACGGCTGAATTTAAAAATTTGCAGCAGGGCTCTGGAACTAGGGAAAGCAGGAATACAAGAATTCTGCTCCCCCTTTTCTCTTGGGGCCTGTACCGGACTCTTAGAAACATTTCCTCCACGTTGTTCTCACTTCTACCCTCAAAGTCCTTATTCTGATTTTCCAAAAGAGGTCACCACGTTTCTCCAAGGTAAGCCCAGAGAGCGTCGGAACTCTCACTCACCCTAGTCGGTCCACTCCAAGGCTAGTACCGCCCACGCCCGAACACCGCCCGCGGCCCGCCCCTTCACCAAGTGCCCAGCCGGGTCTCACAGCCCCAACCCAGACGCCCCGGAACCAAGCAGGTGTCCTGGACGTTCGTGGCCACCGTCGCCATCGTTGGAGGTGATGGCTCAGCCAGCACGGCGCGGTCATCCGGGAAAAGAAAAAGCTCCAGGGCCGGCGAGCGCCAGCGCGCATCCCAGACCAGCCAGGGTGGGCTCCACCGCGGCGCTCCGGGCCCGGGTGCCTTGGCAACAGGTAAACACTGAGCGGCCCCGCCCCGCGGCGCGCGCTGGTGGCGTTGTGCGCATGAATCCCGCCCCCAAGGGGCGCAAGCCCCGCTCAGGGATCCTGCCGCCTCGGTGTAACGCGAGTGGGTGCCCGGCGTGGCCAAGTAGGCGCCTGGTGTGCTGGCGGCTAGGTGGCTAGCTGTCCCCTGAGCACGCTGGGCTGCCCCGAGTCCCCGCGCGCCGCCGGGCGGGTTCCTTCCTGGGAGGCGCCGAGGGCGGCGGTTCGCTGGCGAGTGGGCAGGAGGAGGCGGGGTAGACGAAGAATTTGGGCTGCCATCTGCTTTTCGGGACTGGGAATCACGCGTCTTACTCACCCGCTCAGCTGAGAAAGAAATGACCATGGTAATACCCGTCTTGTGGAAGTAGGAGAGATTCCCAGGCACTCGCTCTTTTGCTTTAAGCCCGCCAGCGTTTGAGAGGAGTGCTTTCGCCGAGATCATCTCCAGTCCCGGTGGGTGGGTGGTGTCTGACCCAGCGGTCTGAACTGGCGATGTAAGATGAGTGGGAGAGTGATCCCGGGTGGTCTGAGCCTGCTAAGGGGGACGGCAGCAGCAAAATCAGGCTGAGATCTTCTTCTGTTAAGTGTCTGGTTGCCGTTCCTTGGTTCTGTTGCAGAATTGTCACACCCAGAAGATGTTTTTTTTTTGGGGGGAAGAGGGAGATCGGCAAAGTTGTATGGAACCCAAGAACGCCAGTACATGCCAACAGCCACTGGCTCAGGCACTTGGCTGCTGCTTCCGCTCCAGAGTCCCTTGTGGGATGCGCTGTTGACTCAAGTAGAAGGCGAGCCCTGGTCCCACCACCACACTGCCAGCCGTCACAAGCATTCCTGCTCCTTGGTCCTCCTTAACCCTCACTGTTCTTTCTATAACGTCTGTGACCTTATAACCCCCATCCCATGTCCTCTGCTTAAGCAAAACAAAACAAAACCCACATCCCACAGTAGACCCACGTGCTTCTGAAAGTCTCCTGAACCAGACTCACCTCAAGCTATTGCTCTTTCAATTTTTTTTTTTATAAGACCCAGCCCAAAGTGCCTCCTTATGTACCTGTAGCCCTTTGCACCTCACTTAAGGTGCTTTGCCTGTTTTGCCTTGGAAGGTCTTACTCCTTATCCCCATTAGATTGTAGTGAAAAAATATGTTTGGTAAGCCTCTGTGGGTCTTCCAGTTCCTTGAGTGAAAGGCACTAGGTAAATATCTCTTGATTTAGGAGAGTCGTTCCTGAGTTACCCGCACATGTTTAATACTGCCATTTTCTTCTGGGGCCCAGGGAACTGAAGCAGAATGGTTTACACAGCCATTTAAGCTAATAACTTCCTTTGGCCCTTGGAATCAAGGTCAAACAAATTAGTTGACAGAGCCTTCAGCCAAAGCTATGCCCTACCTACCTTTCTAGACTCATCTGGTCCCCCAGGTTGCCTGTAGACTGGCCACATTAATTGTTTGGTTTTTTGGGCGCTTCAACTCTGCATATTTTCTACTACCTCGGAGCCTTTACCATAGTTATTCCTTTTTACTGTTCATTAGTGCTCCATTGTATGGTTGTACCACAATTTATTTATCCATTTATCTGCTGATGGACATTTGGGGTGTTTTCCAGATTTTTGCTGTTACAAGTAAAGTCTTTAAATTGAAAATACTTTCATTTTCTTGGATAAATACCTTAGGAAATGGCTGGGTTATATGGTAGGAATGTGTTTAACTTAAAAAGAAACTGCCAAACTGTTTTCCAAAGTGGTTTTGTCATTTTAGATTTCCATTGGCAGTGTGTGTGAGTTCCATTTCCTCCGTATCCTCACCAACACTTAGTATGGTCAGTCTTTTTAACTTGGACCATTCTAATAAGCGTCAGTATTATTTTCTGGTTTTAATTGTATGTGTCTACTAACTTAATGATGTTGCATATCCTTTCATGTACCTATTTTCCATTTATGTATTTTTTTTTGGAAAAAGTCTATTCAAATCTTTTGCCTATTTGTATTGGGCATTTGTATTTTCTTACTATTGTGTTTTTAGAGTTCTTTATTCTAGATATAGGCCTTTATCAGATATGTGATTTACAAATTTTTTTTCCAGTATGTGGCTTGGCTTTTCATTCTCTCAAATGATCTCCTGGCATCCTATACATAGAACACCTCAATGTTAAGTTTTTATAGATGTCCAGTATATAGGTTGCTGATACATGAGTTAATATATTTTTAAATTTTTTTTTAGTTGTAGATGGACACAATATCTTTATTTATTTTTATGTGGTGCTGAGGATCGAACCCAGTGCTTCACACATGCTAGGCAAGCACTCTGCCACTGAGCTACAGCCCCAACCCTGAATTATATTATTATATTGTTTTAAGTTTAATTTTTTTTAAAGAGAGAGGGAGAGAGAGAGAGAATTTTTTTAATATTTATTTTTTAGTATTTGGCAGACACAATATCTTTGTATGTGGTGCTGAGGATCGAACCCGGGCCACACGCATGCCAGGCGAGCTCGCTACCGCTTGAGCCACATCCCCAGCCCTTAAATTTAATTTTTTGTGAAAATTTATAATTATATACAAAAATAGAATAGTAAAATGAATCCCCATGTATCCATTTCTCAGATTCAGAAATTTTAAAGATTTGGCCACATTTACTTCATCTATCCCTTACTGGAGAGTAGGGCAAATCTCAGGTCTTCTTTGATTTCATCCTTGCAGATTTCAGTGTGCATCTCTGAGACATGTGTTTTCTTTTGTAACCCAATGCCATTATCAACTCTAACAGAATTCATTATCCTCTGATACTATCAAATTTTTCTTATTTCCTAAAAAAAAAAAAATGCCTTTTTGCAGCTGTTCAAATCAGAAGGCAAACAAGGGTCACACATTGTGTTGGGTCTCTTTTAATAGGGGGTGCTTACTAAATATTTGTCACATTAGCTGGCATGTGACATCTCCCATTCCATGAAAATTTTCTGTTGTTTGGATTTTTTTTCCTTAAATTCAACAAAGGAACACTCCTTTGTTTCAACACTGAAAGTCATCTCAAGTTTGTAGACACTAACTGCCACACTCTGTTTGTCCTGTCTTCAAAAGCCAGGTAAAGGGAAGAAAGGGAAAAGCCACAGAAAGTCTCGTGGGAAGAAGCAGAAGAAGCCCGAGGTGGACATCCTCAGCCCCGCGGCCATGCTGAACCTCTACTACATTGCCCACAACGTGGCCGACTGCCTACAGCTTCGAGGCTTCCGCTGGCCAGGGGCTCCCAAAGGGAAAAAAGGGAAGAACAAGACTTAAGTGATAGAGTTCTCAGCGCTCAGAGAACAACTTGGGGAAGAGAAATCAAATAATTCGACCCTACAGGCAAAATAGACTTTACTGAAGACACCTTGAAATGCAAGCTCAGGGTGCTTTCTATGGTAAATAATGGTGAAGAAATGCCTTTTACTTCCTCAGTTAAGCTAGGCATGATTAGCCACTTTGGATTTTCAGAAGTTAAGGGGAAAAACTTGAACAATTCTTACACCATGTGATGGGATTGATAGTCCTTTAAAAATTTATTATCATAATTCTGGGCCAGAAATTAAACCTTGCTCTCAAAAGGCAGTTCCAGTTTGCACGAGTTATTTTCTTTTGCTAAAGGGGGTCTGTTATTTAGAGAAGATATGGCAAAAAAAGCACAGGCTTTACATTACAATCACCCCTTTCTTGGGCACTATTTCTTTTTTCTTTATTTTTCTTTTTAGTGGTGCTAAGAATGAACACATGCTAGGCAAGTCTCTACCACTGAGCTTCATCCACAGTCCTCCCCTGCACCCCCCCCACCTTTTTTTTTTTTTTTTTTTGAAAATAAATATTTTATTTCTGTAATTTTTTTCTCAGTAGTCTGATTCTGGTTTGAATTAGCCACAGGGCCAAATGGATATTAAGATTGTCACTAGTGCTCTGACCTTACTGGGCATGTAAGGTTGTGATGAAAAGGATCTGACAATGTGTAGTGGGTTGGGTACAGAGAGAAGGAATGAATTGTGGACTCAGGCCTTTCCTCTTTTGTGTCACCTGACTTGTCTCCACTTCTCCCGCACCCTTAGATTTCTTCACACCTTCTGCCACCTTTAAACTTAAATGACCCTGAGTCATGAACTGGTGACTGGAAACTAGCCATTATTATTTGGCTGACTTTCCAAGATCTCCCCAGCCTTGTGAGGAGACTTTAATAGACAAAACTGGCTGAGTACTGTGTTGCATGCCAGAGACTATGATAGGAGGATTGCAAGTTCAAGGCTAGACTTGGCAACTTAGTGAGACTGTGTCGTCATCATCATCATCATAATAATAAATGAAATAATGATGAAGAACTACCTTTACTTTCTCAGGTAAGGTAGGCGTGGTTAGCCACTTTGGATTTTCAGAAGTTGGTGGGGGGAAACCCAAATAATAAAAAATGAAAAGGGCTGTAGCTCTGGTAGAACACTTGCCTGCTATGTGTGGGGCTCTGAGTTCAATCCCATACACACACACACACAAGAAAGAGAAAGTACTGCATTTTTTCTCCTTGCCCCCAAAGGCCTCAGTGCCCTTATAAGTTTAAAAATCATCTCTGAGTCAGCATTTCGTCCCTGCCTCTTGTTCTGCCTTCCTGTCCCAACTCACTGCTTCCTCTGATCCCACCATTCTGACACCTACATTGGCTCCCTTCACACTTTTAACCTTAAAGCTGATTGAGCACCATTCTAGGGATGTTCCAGTTTGACTGAATTACTTATGTTCAGTTTGCCTTGTGGTGATCTCAGAGATTCACAGTGTTTTTAAAGGAAGACTGCAACCTAGGATTCAGTATTTCACAAATGTCAGAGAAAAAGGAAATTCATGAATCATTTTACTAGAGAACTGGGGTGCTCATAACCCACGTGAGCTTGTTGGGAATGCCATTTATATACCAGTAATATCTGTACTAATGCAGTGTAAGCTCTTGGCCAGTTGCCAGAGGAGCCTTCCTTTTGGAGAACCTACAGAGAGATCTTGTGTTTACTGTGATTGTAGGCTTTAGAAACAAGGCGCACCTTCCTGCCCAGTTAGAGACTGCTAACTCTAGTTCATTGCCTCTCAGTCATCTGTAAGATTTTATCAAAAGTACGGATTGCATTCAGGTGTGTTGGTGCATGCCTGTAATCCCATTGGCTCAGAAGGCTGAGGCAGGAGGATCCGTGAGCTCAAAGCTAACCTTAGCAACTTAGTGAGGCTAAGCAACTTAGTGAGACACTGTCAAAATAAAATATAAAAAGGTCTGGTGAAGAAGGCTGATTCCATCATAATGGAGAGCAATTAGATTTCTGTTTCCACTTTGATTTATCAATGCATTATATAGTTTATGAAGGTGATTAAGAGGAGGATGGAACTAAAATTTTTATAGGACACCTGAAGGGCATCTGATGGGAGAATGGATCCTTTATTTTCCCTAAACCTAAATCAGCAAGGATTCTGAATCTCCTATAGTGGAGGATTCAAAGAGGAACTTGTGAAAGCAGCTTCTAACTTGTGTTAAAACACATGCAGGCCCAAAGGATCACCTGGAAGTGGCAAGGGTTGAAATGAAGGCACATGATTTGAGGCTCTCAGGGCTTTTTATGAGGAAGGCTCTATTCAAGGATGAGGATGGAATTTAAAAGAGAGAAGGGATCAGCAACTCTAGGAGTAGGCAGAGTCCACTGAGGAGGAGGTAAGTTTGGCCAATGGCATGAGAATAGAGAATGTACTTTAAAATGGAAGGGCCTCATCTAAAACCAATGACATATAAAAGAGAGAATGACAAGGTGATATCAGTGAGGATATGGAGAAATTGCAACCCACACATGTCACTGTGGGAATGTAAAGGATGGTACTGTGTAGAAAACAGTTCAGTTCTAAAGTATGTAAGTAGAGTTACATATGATGCAGCAGTTTCACTCCTAGTTATACGTGAAAGAATCTGAAAACATATATTCAAAAAACACATACTTGAGGCTGGGGCTCCACTTGCTGGCATGTGTGAGGAACTGGGTTCGATTCTTAGCACTGCATATAGATAAATAAAATAAAGATCTATCTACAACTAGAAAAATATTTTTAAAAAACATACTCAAAAGCTTATAATGAATGTTCAGAACAGCATTCTATTTAAATTTTGTTTTTAGTTGCCAATGGACCTTTATTATTATTTATTTGCGGTGCTGAGGATCGAAACCAGGGTCTCACAAATGCTAGGCAAGCGCTCTTAACACTGAGCTACAACTCTGGCCCCCAGAACAGCATTCTTAACAACCTAAAAGTAAAAACAATTTAAGTGTATGTTGATTATCTATATTCAACATATAGTTGAACATAAATTATTATTTATGGAATATTATTTGAACATAAAAGAGAAGGAGGTAGTGAAACATGCTATAGCATGAATAAACCTTGAACGTGTTATACTAAGTAAAAGAAGCCAGACACAAAGGCCATATATTGTATAAATCCATGTATATGAAATGTTTCAAATAGACAAGTCCATAGAGACAAAAAGTAGATTATTGTTTGTCGGAGGAGAATAGAAAGTGACTGCTAATGGGTACGCCTTGCTGAAAATGCCCTGGGATTGGATAGTAGAGACGTTCACACAATCTTGTGAATGTACTAAATTTCACTGAATTTGTACACTTTGAAAGGCAGCTGTTATGGTATGTAAACCATGTCTCAAACTGATCGCACCTGAAAGGGTTCCAAAAGACTGGGAGATAAAGGAGTGAGTCCCAGTGCCAGATAGGTGGCTCAAACAGATTAGGCAGAAGAAGAAGGACCAAGTTCTGATCAAATCCCCTCAGCTAGATGCCTGGTCAGGTAAACTTGGGAGCCATAGCAGAAGTAGCAACTTCTGACTGGCAGTTTTGGTGTTTTTTTGTTTGTTTTTAAAATTTTTTTTTAAAGAGAGAGAGAGAGAGAATTTTTTTTAATATTTATTTTTCAGCTTTCGGCGGACACAACATCTTTGTATGTGGTGCTGAGGATCGAACCTGGGCCGCACACACGCCAGGCGGGCACGCTACCGCTTGAGCCACATCCCCAGCCCTGACTGGCAGTTTTTATATCCTGCACAGGGAAATTCTGCCAGAGCCAAAACTTCCCATCTTTATTTAAATTCCAGTTGCCATTACCTTTTCTACCTACCCATCTCTGGACCTTACACTCAGCGGGCAACAGGATTTCTCTCTTAAGGGGAAATATCCCCACCCCTCATATATTTTTATTCTGAGACTGAACCCTCTACAAGGGCACAAGAAGATGTATTCATTAGCATTATGTTACTACAATGAAACACTTGAGACAATTAACTTTATAAAAAGAACAGGTGTATTTCAGAGTCCTAATGAAATAGTGTGGGCTTGGTGATGATTGCTTCTTGATTTCATTACCCATGGTGCAGATGACATTGGTGGGAGGTACTTAGTGGAGCAGGAAGCATATCTTGAGGCAGGAAGAAGAGAGGTGGCAGGGAAGTGGGACAGAGGACCTGCAGGTTTCCACAGTCTCTTTTGAAGGCATGTCTACAATGACCAAAGGACCTCCAATTAGGCTCCACCTTTGAAAGTTCCACAGCACCTCCCAGTGTCAACACCCTGAAGATCAAGCCTCTATAAAACCAATTTCTTATTGAAATAGTCCAACCTTATGTTTGTAGATCTTTCCAGCTTTGTCATTTCCTGCAGCCCTGTAAGGCTCCCACTTTCCTCATAGTGACCATTCCATGATCCTGCATTTTCATTACTCCAACCCTCTGGAGTTTACCGCTAAATAATTTAACCTATGAGAGAATTCAACCACATGGCCCATTCTGCAAGCCCACACACCCACAAATATGTCTCCTGATTCATCTCCTCCCACTCCTTAAGCCTCCACCACCCAGGGAAAGTGAGGCTTAGTCAAGAAAGCGAAAAAGAGGCAGGACCTGGATATTTCTATCTTAATTTAAAAATTAACTTTTATGGCCATGCATCATGGTGTATGCCTATAATCAAAGAACTCAAGAGGCTGAGGCAGGAAGGTTGCAAGCTCAATGCCAGCTGAATACAAATGGCTGGAGATGTAGCTCAGTGATAGAGCACCCCCTGGGTTCAATTCCTGGTCACACACACACATGCTTTTTTTTTGAAAATTTATAAACATACACAAAATAAGTGCAATAAACCCCATCTCCAATAACTTACAATATTTTGTCATACTCATTTTGTCTATCCCTTATTATTTAGTTTGTTCATTAGATACACTCAAAAGCAAATCAAAAAATTTTAAATCAAAATTTCTTTTCTGAATACTTCAGCATCCTTGATATTTTAAACAGGTAACTTTACATTCTAACTCCAGATGGGATACTGCTGTAATTTTTTGTTACTCTGTGGACACTTCTTAAATGCCCACCATACTATGAATTTTCCATGATTGTTTCACAACTGCTTGGCCATCTTCCAACACTGTTTAGTGACCATCATTTTTAAAGCCTGGCATGACCCCATTCAGCTCTCATTTTATTTCTCTCTATTACCATTTTTTCCCTCTTTCCCTTGTTTGCCATATTTCCTGAACTGTGGTCA